TGAGATAGAAACTAACGTATGGGCAGACCATAATCCGATAAAGATGACATGGAGAGGAACAAAGAAAAAAATAAGATAGACATTAAACCAATCCTTATTGAAAGAGAAAGAATTTATACAAAAAACTGTAAAGAAAATGGAATTTTTCTTCAAATTCTTCTTCAAAGAAAACAAGAAAGAAGATACATCACTCCAAAATGTCTGGGACACAGCCAAAGCATATTTTAGAGGATTAGCCATAATTTATATGGCGAAAAAGACATAAACAACAACAAACTAAGCTAAAAGAAGAACTTACAAAATTAGAATTAGAATTACAAAGAGCTCCACAAAGAAAACTCTTAAAAAACAAATGGAGATAATAAAACACAAATTAAATTTAATAGAAGCTGAAGAAATGGCCCAACAAATTAAAAGAGCAAAACATTTTTTTTTTAAATGCCAATAAGCCAGGGAGATGGTTGGCTTATAAACTAAAAAAAGAGAGAAGAAATTGATACATAAGTTACAAGATGTGAGAGGTGATTTACAATGTCAAAATGATGCAATAAAAAAATAATTAAAGAATTTTATGAAACACTCTATAATATAGAAGAAATTCCTCAGGAAAAAATAAGGCAATATATAGAAAATGCTAAGCTACCAAAAAATCTCAGAGAACTTCAAGAATATGCTAAATGGAAAAATAACAGTGATTATTTTTCAGTGATGGAGTTGGCAAAAAGACAAAAATGACAAGACACCAGGCCCAAATGGGCTACCGGCAGAATTTTACAAATATTTACAAGAGACACTAATCTTACCAATACAAGAAGTGTGTAATGAGGTATTATTAAAGGCCAAACTACCAACTACATGGATAGAAGCTAATATTATGCTAATACCCAAAGAAGACTCAGACTTGACCCAGATAAAGAATTACAGACCAATATCTGTATTAAACGTGGATTATAAAATCTTTGCTTTAATAATAGCAGAAAGATTAAAGAGATTTTTGATTGAATTCATACATTCAGATCAAAATGGATTCTTACCAAAGAGACAAATAAAGAATAATTTAAGAATGATTTTAGACACACTGGAATATTATGAAATGCATCCAGGGAAACAAATGACATTAATCTTTCTAGATGCACAGAAAGCTTTTGATAATGTCAATTGGCATTCAACAACTAAACTATATGGATTTTGGAGAAAACTTTATGAATATAATCCAAACAATTTATCATAGACAAACAGCTAAAATAATTGTGAATGGAGATTTCACGGAGAGTTTCAATATTAAAAAAAAGTACAAGACAAGGGTGTCCACTATCCCCACTATTATTTATTTTTACCCTGGAAGTGCTGAACAGAAATGTTAGACAGGACCCAGAAATGAAAGGAATGGAGATAAAAGATGAAAAGTACAAACTATAAGCATTTGCGGATGATTTGGTATTTATATTAGAGGATCCCTTGGAGACAAGTCCTAAATTATTAGCAAAGATCGAAGAATTTGGAGAAGTAGCAGGACTGAAAATAGAGAAAAGACTAAAGTTATAGTTAAAAATCTTACAGATAAACAAAAAAACCAATTGTCAGAAAAAACAGACCTTCAAGTAGTTAAGAAAGTTAAATACTCGGGGATATATCTAACAGCAAGGTGCACAACAATAAAATAAGACAACTACATAAAATTACTAAAACAAATAAAACTAGAGCTGGAAAAATGGAAAAATCTACAACTATCAATTTTGGGAAGAATAGCGACTGTGAAAATGAACATTCTACCAAAACTACTTTTCTTATTTCAAACATAAATACTTTCAAAAGCACTATGTAAGAAATGCATTGCTTTTGACATGGGAAAAGATAAAATCGAGAATTTACACGAAAATACCAGGATGGATTTCGACAATGGAGGCGTTTGTACACCCAAGTTTAATTAATTATGAGAAACTCGTGACTTATAAAGATATTTTGAATACTGATGGGAAACTACAAACTAAACGAGAATTGGAAGAACAAGGCATAGAGCTATCATGGTGGCCACATTTGCAAATGCAAATGAGATACAAGAAAGTTGCAAAAATATATGGTTTTTACAAAGATCAGACAGCATTTGACCAGATACTGTTGTCATCAGATGACAAATTGATTAAGAAATTGTACAGTTTTCTTTTAAATTTAAAGATGGAAGATGAACAAGTTAAAGAAACAATGATAACTTGGGCAAAAAAAATTGGGCCCAATGTAGAGTTAGAAACATAACAAAACTTACGGGAAAGAAACTATAAAATAACAAGGGTAGCTACTTATAAAGAAAATCTACGGTATATAAAATGTTCTATAGATGGCACTTACCACCTGCAAGACTAGCAAAAATGTTTAAAAATATGTCTAACAATTGTTGGAAATGTGGATAAAATCCAGGCACATATTACCATCTTTGGTGGACATGCCTAAAAGCAAAGAACTTTTGGTCAAAAATACATAGGTGGCTAGAGAAGATGATTAGGAGCACATGTAGACTATAAACCGGAACTATTTCTTTCAGGTATAATTTCAGAAAATTATGATAAAGAATGTTTATACTTAATATTACATGTATTAACAGCAGCGAGAATTACATTTGCTCAATATTAGAAAAACGAAGACATACCATCTGAAGAAGATATAATTAAGAAAATCTTGGACTGTGCAGAAATGGATAGGCTCACATTGAAAATGAAAGGGAAACAAGACTCAGAATATTTCCAAACATGGGAATTTTTTTTATAAATGGTTAGAAAAGTGGAATAAAGGGTAGGAATGAAAACTGTACTACTATTAATGTTAAATATGTAAACCCAATCAACGTGTTGCTTACTAAATACTAAAGATTGTTATTGTAAAAAACTAATAAAATATAGAAATGTATCTTGCAGGGTTGGAAAGTGTCGAAAAATGATTGCCGAATAGGATAGAGAGCTTTTTTTGTCAGACCTGCTCCAATCCAATCCCTTAGGAAAGAAAAGCCTTCAACTCCATTTGGTTAAAGCAAAGGGTTCTTTTACTAAGGATGTTGGTTGCAGTAAAGACAAGCCAGCTCTGAAATTTACCGTGCTCACCAGATAAAAAAAAATAAGGTGTAGGTTTGTCCCCAGTCCGTTTCCAGCCAACCGGAGCTCACCAAGATGTTTTGAGAACTCTGAGATGTTTGGAGGTAATCCACATAGTTCTTAGGGTGCCTGGCCATGGGATGCTGGTACAAACAGGATCCAGCTGCCCTGGTCCTTCTCACCTGTCATTCCACCCTCCTGATTTCCTATCACTTACACACAAAGCTTTATTGCCCTTTTATCCTTCCCCCTTTCATCCTTCTGCCCCTTCTTTTGATGGCAGGATGCCTGTCAGGCCCCAAGCCAAGCCAGGCAGAGCTGACATTCTGCCTCCCCTTGACAAAGACGTTAGTCCTGCAAAAGAAAAAAGAGGGGAGGGAGAGATACACAAAATTTCTCAATTAGCAAACAGTTCAATGCGGCTTATGTGGGTATCGTTCATAGAATTTTTCAAGCAGTTTGGGGGCTTTAATATGTTGGGAGTCGACCCATTCAGTTTCTGAGGGGGGAAAGGATGCAAGGAAGATGTGATTTATGGTTTCAGTGGGCTACAATGAAATACCGGCTGTACACGTCTGAGCTTTTTTGGCAGCTCAAGTTCTACAGTTACTGGGTTAATAATCCTTTTGATGGGGAAAGGTCCAACGTATTTCAGCCCCAATTTTTTTGATGGTTGTCTAGATTGTAGGAATTTGCTAGAGAGATAGACCTGTCTCCAACTTTAAAGTCCTTTGGCTTGATGCGCTTTTTAGCAGCCTGTTTTTTGTATGTTTCCCTAGCTTCATTCAAAGCTTTTCTCACCACTGGCCAGGTGCTTTGTAACTGTGTAACCCAATCTTTCAGCAATGCCATTAATGGGGTGGTCTGAGGTACTGTAGTTCAGGGATAGACAGAAAGTCTTGTCCTGTGGCCACTTTAAATGGAGTGAACCTGGTGCTATTGTGCACTGAGTTATTGTAGGCGACCTCCACGAAAGGGAGGAGGTCCGTCCAATTGTCCTGTTGGTAATTAATATAGCATCTGAGGTACTGCTCCAGGACGCCATTGGCCTGTTCACACACCCTGTTAGTATCTGGATAATGCAAGGAGCTGAGCCCCTGAGTGGTCCCCAAAGGTTTTAGGAACTCCCGCCAAAGCCGTGAAGTAAATTCAACTCTGGGATCTGAGATTATTCTTTCTGGAGCACCATGCAGCCAATAGACGTGCTGCATGAATAGTTTAGCCAAAGTGCATGCTAAGGGGATTTTTTGACAGGGTATAAAGGTTGGGAATTTCGTAAAGGACTAGTAGGGAATTTGATAATGGAAGGGGAGAAAAGTCGCTATCACTGATCCTACCTGAGTAAGAGCGAGGAATTGAGAAAAATATGGGTGGTGGCCAAGGATGGAGGAAGCGTTCCATCCATGAACACCACATTCATTTTTCTAGAGCCATCTGTCTCAGGTGATGGCAACTTTTCCTTTAAATAGTCTCTGTCTCAATTTTGTGATTAGAAGTTGACCTCCTGGCCCCCAGTTCAAAGGGTATTATTTGGAGGAAAACTGTGTTCTTTCTTAACTTTCCCAGGCCTGGGGAACAGCCAACCAGATTTTGATGGTATTTCATTAAGTGCAATAATCATAACACATATAGAATGAAGTGTACATTTCATACAAAAACAGAGCAAGAAGGAGGTGGTTAGGTATTACACAATCGAAACACTATAAACCAGGGGTGTCAAACTGCCGGCCCAAGGGCTGGTTGCATCATACAGATGCTGCACCCACCCCAGCTCCGGCAATGTGAAGTCACGATACTTCGCGACACGTCACGTGACACGGCGAGTTTGACACCCATGCTATAACTTCAGTAACTTGCTGTGCAAATGAACAGAATTGCTGCATATTTTAACTTTTTCTCCCCTCCCCCCACGTCCTGTGCAATCGGTGAAGATTACATACACATACTTCTTTAACCTGTGAAATCCTGTCTGACCTCCAAACTGGCGATGTCAAGGGTACCAAGTCCTCCTCCTCCGGCAGAGATGTCAAGTGGACCTGTTGCAGAGAGCTGGTGTTACACTCAAGTAAGGCCTGCAGTTTGGAATATCAACTAATGACTATATCAGCTGGCATTTATTGTCCTCCCTTTGAATTGGACTCAAGTGTTTTGCACAGTGACATACTTTCAAAATAACTGAACTTGATAATCATGCCAATTGTAATAGTAATAAATATTATGTGGAAAACTGGTGAATTCCCAAATTCATATGTTGTTCTTGATAGGCTTAGGGATAGATGGTAACCTCGTTGTCTTCTAGATGTTCTGCTAAGTTTTGCTTTGTCCCCTGATGGTCCTGATCCAAAGAATCTTTGGCATATATACTGTGATGAAGATTGCTGGAAAATCATAAAATAGACTTGCAGAGCAAGTTTTTGTTGTTGCTTTTCCAACAATATTAGCGTTAGCATAGCTAACACATCAACCCAACAAAATCAAATGGGAATCAGATTAATAATATTTTGTGCACATCTCTGTCTTGGATAGCGGCTTTTGAGGACCTCATAACTAGAACAGATAGATTACATGAATATACTTTCTCATTGAAACAGGAAGGATTCAATCTGATAGGTTTGCATTTTATATTTCCTCTTAATACAGATAGTCCTTGACTTACAACAGTTTGTTTAGTGACCAAAGTTAAAATGGCACTGAAAAAAGTGACTTATGACTGCTTTTCACATGACAGTTGCAGTGTCCCAGGGTTGTGTGATCACCTTTTGTGACCTTTTTTTAATATATAATATTTTATTAATTTTCCAATTTTACATTTAAGTATTTAAAAAGCAACGTGGTGGCTGGGTTAATCAATAGTTTGATAACAAAATCTTTAGTACAAATCTCAAGTTACATCAAATAAAGAGAAGATCGGATCTCACCCAGTTTCATCCGCGTTGCTTTCGAAGTGCTAAGTGGTAAGTTTGACTTCGGCTGTCTGCAGCCTAGTGACAAGCCACATTACTATGGCCGGTCTTTCCTCCGCCGGTTTGGAGGGCTGCCCCGGATCGAGCGGGAGAGCTGTTGCCCTCCCGCGATCAAGTAGGGGTCCCCTACTTGCTCGTCGCCCCTACAAGGCGACTTTCGACCCTTTCCAGGGTCCCCCAGCGGAGCGAAACCGAACGCGGAAGACAGAGCTCACCTTCCAGCAGCCGCAGCGGCCACAATGGCAAACCGGAAGTCACCTTTTGTGACCTTCTGACCAGCAAATTCAATGGGGAAGTCAGATTCACTTAATTGTGTTACTAACTTAACAGCTGCAGTGATTCACTTAACTATGGCAAAAAAGGTTGTAAAATGGGTCAAAACTCACTTTACAACTGTTTCACTTAGCAACAGAAATTTTGGGCTCAATTGTGGTTGTAAATCAAGGACTACCTGTATTGACATTTCCCTGTATTTACTATCCCTAGCCATTAAAAGATACATACATGCCAGTTATCATGTTAGCACTCGGTATGCTGCAATTCTCTGTGCATGTATTAATAATACATTGTAATCAGAAAAAGTGCTCTTAAGCTTAACACAGTGTTAAACAAAAGACTGGAGGGACAGGCAGGGTGGAAGCTTTTCCTGAGCATTTGTGCTTCCATTCTGGAATCTAAGATACATGAAGGACACTAGATTCTACTCATGATTGCAAGTACAGGTAGTCCTCACTTAATGATGGTAATTGGGACTGGGAACTCTGTTAAGTGATGCAATTATAAAGCATGATGACATATGACCACAGCGACTTAGTATTGCAGTCCCAATTGCTGCTGTTACATGAAACTCGCATGACGGCAGTGTCTGATAGTCATGTGATCACTGTTTGTGACCTTCTCATGGCTTGTTGGAAGCTGTCAGTGAAGGTTGCAAATGGTGATCACGTGACTGTGGGATGCTGTGACTGTTGTAAATTGCAAGCCTGTTGCCAAGTATTTGAAACACAATTGTGAATGCAGGCATGCTGTGATGGTCACAACTACAAGAAGTGGTCATAACTTCCCTTCATTCAGTGCCATCATAATCTTGGGACAGTCACTGAACGAGTGATCATTAAATAAGGACTACTGTGAAAGAATTCAGCAGCAGCAAATCTTTTCTGAAAGCAGACATACTCCTGCCTCTTCTACATAAATTGGTATGGGCCACACGCACCAGCTTAATAGACCTACAAATTAATTATAGGTCAAATAATTTTCCTCCTGACTTCTGATGGAGAGGGACAAGGGTAGCAGTGCTGTAGAAACCCTTTGATAAGAATGGATCACAGTTTCTTGGAGAGGTATTTATGATATTTCAAGAGAATGGAGGTCTAAATGTACTTTTCCTTCATTTTCTAACATCAGTGGGGATTTGGGCTGTGGTGTTTTTTTGGTGATCTTGTTCTTTATAACAATGTATGTAAATTGCTAGCCAATATTTCCCCTCTTCACCATTCTTTTTAAAGATTAAAGTGGTCAAATTTTCCTACATGTGGACCATCAATAACTTCAGCTTTTGTCGGGAGGAAATGGGCGAGGTCATCAAAAGTTCAACATTTTCATCAGGAGCTAATGATAAATTAAAATGGTAAGGACCACCAAAATGCCAGATAAGGAACAGCAGAAGGTACATTCATTGATATGTGGGTCTCAGAGCTGGGTTTGCAGTTATACCTTAGCCTCATATTCATTTAGAGCCATTGTTGAAGTTGCTAATGTTCTGTTTCAGAACTGTCACCTGTAAAATGTCATAGTAAAAGACCGGTTCCATAAAGTTAAGGAAAGAAAGTGCTACATTCATCTGTTGAATCTTAGTTATCCATTTGTAAGTGTGGCTCACCAACTTCCTGTGATCAGCTGCAAGAAATCAAAATGTCATTGTTTAATAGTCTATAGTAAATGCAGACAAAAACATAACTAGTGTAGTACAACTATCAACCAGGGTATGATTTTTCAAAAGAAAACAATCTGTATAGAAAGTTGTTTCACTGGGTATAGTTGAATGATTTATATAGAGAAAATGAACATAGTCTTTCTGCTTTTGCAGGTGTTTGCGTGTGAACCCAAAGGGCCTGGATGAAGAAAGTAAAGATTATCTCTCACTTTATCTGTTACTGGTCAGCTGTCCAAAGAGTGAAGTCCGAGCCAAATTCAAGTTCTCCATTCTGAATGCAAAAGGAGAAGAAACAAAAGCAATGGGTATGCATACCTAGTAGCTGGGCACTTATATTTTACCCCTTACTGTATATGCAAATAGAGCAGAAAATAAAGACTTCTGTTTTCCTTTCTTCTATATTTTTTTAAATGCCAACCTCTTTGTATGTTTCCAGAAAGCCAGAGAGCCTATCGGTTTGTGCAAGGCAAAGACTGGGGATTCAAGAAGTTTATTAGAAGAGATTTTCTTCTGGATGAGGCAAATGGGCTCCTTCCAGATGACAAGCTCACTCTCTTCTGTGAGGTAAGGAAAGATGTGGTGGAACATCATGGTTTCCTTTGGGAAGGTTTTCATAAAAATAGTTTTTTTTGTCTCAACTCCTGCTATGAATCCAATTTGTTCATCGTACAGTTGGGCTTTGGGGATGGAACTTTGAATATCTCCATTGTGGCTGAATGTACTGGATGGATCACTTCTTTCTGGAGGAGTTGGTTCTTGAAATACCTAGGGTCCAAGCCATTATGAGGTTTAGGTTACAGCCAGCATTTTGAAGCCTATTGGTAGCCATGTCATCCCTAGAAAAGTGGTATCATATGGCACTGGTGGCTCTCACCCACTAGCAGGAGTGTTGCTGTGTTTTGTATCAGCTACAGCTTCCAGGTAGTGTTCAGAGGCAACAAAACCAAACCCTTGTTTTAAGCTTTTTGTGACAAGTCTGTGAGTTTAGAAAACCAGATTTGACTCACAGACAGGAAAAATGTCATTGTTGCTGCTAAGGATGTTTTGGGTCCCATACTTAGGTGTTAATACCATATGCTCAGCTAATTCTCTCCAATTGTAGGTACCCCCAACTTTTTCACTTTAGGGGAAATATATTTTTGTTTTAATAAAGGAGAATATTTGTAGCTCAGGCTTGACATGAGGGGTCCTTGGTGCTCTCTGAGCTTGGTTGTTTTCTTTTGGAGACATTTCATTACCCAAACCAGGTAACCTCATCAGTGCTAGTAAGGAGTGCAGTTTGCTGTCAGTTTATATTCTAGTGGCTTGCCTGTCAGTGTTGGTGGGGGTGGTCTTAGAGGTTCTTTGGTTGGGCTGCTTACTGTTGGCTTCTTTGGCAGTTTCTTGATTGGGGTATTGTTTACTTAATTGTTGGTCTGATGTTAACCTTGGAGTTAATCTATGCTGATCTGGGTGCTGATTGCTGGTGGAGAGGTGCTTGAGTCTTTTTGTTCCTTTTGGGGCTGGGTGATCATCCCTTTTGCATAGTCTATAGATGTTGTTAATGTCTATGTGTCTATTGATGGCTGATTTGTCAGAGTGCCAGGCTGATCAGCAGAGACTACAATGGCAAACTAGAAATGCAAATCTACAGAAAAACCACCCATACTAACCAGGTGCTCCACTACCAAACCAACAACCCAACCTCCCACAAGAGAAGCTGTGTAAGGACTTTATTTAGATGAGCCCAAACACACTGCAGCAACCCAGAACAGCAGAAAAGGGAAATAGAGCATCTGTACAACATATTCCAACAAAATGGATATCCACACAACTTTATCAAAAAGTCCATGACCACTCAACCCAATACAGCACAACCAACACAAACGCTAAAAAGAATTACACTGCCATACATCAAAAATATCTCAGAAACCACCAACAGACTACTACAACCACGTGGAATCAGCATAGCCCACAAGCCAACTAAAGCCCTTCAAAACATCGTAAGCAGACCAAAAGACCCAACAACCCCAGAAGAAAAAACAGGATTTTTTTCTACAACATACAATGTAAAGACTGCAACAACTACTATGTAGGACAAACAGGCAGAAGACTGGCAGAATGCATCCACAAACACCAACCAGCAGTCAGAAGACATGATGAAAATTCTTTAATTTTACAACATATAGACAGATTTAACCATAGTTTCAATTGGGAAAATGTGACCATCCTAGACCAAGCCAAGTCCAAAAACGCCAGGGAATTTCTAGAAGCCTGCCACTCTGACAAATCAGCCATCAATAGACACATAGACATTAACAACATCTATAGACTATGCAAAAGAGACAACCAGCCCAAAAAGGAACAAAAAGACCCAAGCACCTCTCCACCAACAATCAGCATCCAGATCAGCATAGATTAACTCCAAGGATAACATCAGACCAATAATCAAGTAAACAATACCCCAATCACGAAACTGCCAAAGAAGCCAACAGCCCAATCAAAGAATGTTTAAGACCACCCCCACCAACACTGATGTTGTGGCTCCGTCCTGTGGGTCCCTCTCATCAGAGGAGGAAGGCTCTGAACATGAAGGAGAGGAGATGGCCAGGCCTCCCTCTCCAGGACCTTCCCCTCTGGTGCGGCCTTCGGTGCCTTCCGCCGAAGAGGAGATTGGCCAGGAGCCAGGTGCTTCTGGGATTGGCCAGGAGCCCGGTGCTTCTGGGATTGGCCA